TGCTGATATCTTCACCAAGGCGCTTGCGCCTTGTGACCATCAGCGCTTCTGTACTCAGCTAGGCCTTGTGCCTGCCTTGCCTCACTTGCTCACCTCTTGACCTTGCTTGTACTGTTACATATAGATATATACCTGCTCTTGCTTGTCTAGCCTTTTTATATATATATTTATTCCAGCATGTGAACTGGCCTTGTGGCCTTGAACTTGTGCTCGGAATGTGTGGTGACTTTGTGATCCACCTTGAGCTTGCTTTGCTTTGCTTTGCTTGACTGGTCTTGTGACCCTTTGTTCTCCCCCACTTTGCCTACGGGGGTGTGTCAGAACATTATAGTTCATGCATATTGTGTAGGCTATAGTGGGGTAGCCCGTAAGGGGTACAACCCAATTAGGGTTAGTACTTGTACCCAATTCATTCATAGTTCATTCATTCTCGTTTCTTCTCAGATAGTGTTGACGAGGGCGTGAAGGTGTGTGGTATCCCCTGTGTTGGCCAGCGATGCATCCCGCAGGTGTTCAAATGTCATACTCGACGGTCTTCCTCCCACCCCATTCTTGCAACGGCATAGCATTTTGATGAAGTCCCATTTTTCCATCGACGCTGCTTGTACTGAATCGGGGATGTTCCAATCGATGGTGCCAGGTGGCGCAGCGGGGTGTTTGGCTCTGAGAGCGGCGAGGATGGATGCAGAAGGGTCGGCGACTAGCGTTGACTCGAGGGCGAGGATTGCCCTCCGGAGACTTCCTTTTCGTGCGAGGCCTTCTGCCCTGGCACGTTTGCCAATGGCGTCAGGCGTGTGGTGAGGCGGGTGTGGTCCAGTGGTCGCAGTAACCGTCGAATCGTAAAGCTGCTGCCATTCTCCTTTGGTGAACTGGCGAAGCCGGCGTTTGAACGCCGGCCAATCAGGGTTTTCCGTTGACGGGAGGTGAAGGGTGAGGCACGGGAGAAAGAGTAACAGGCGCTAGCCTGCGACTGATGCAGGGTTACGCGCGAGGTGAAGCAGGGGTGTCAGTAGTGCACAGGTGAAAAGTGGACGAATGTCAGTCGGGAGTTTGCGAGATAGCAGGGGCTGGCGACTGTCGCGTAGGGGGGTCAGGTTCCATAATTCCAATTCGCCGAACCGCACCATGTCCTCGGCCAATTGTTCGGGTGAGAATTGGCGGGCCTCTGATGCAGTGGTGTCGGGTACTGGCCGGTTTAATCCGCCACCCGTGGCTGCTGGAATTGGAGCGGCTCGACGTGGTGTTGGGTTTGCCCGACGTCTTCCATCTTGTTCCTCCTCCACTAAACCCCCCGATTCTTCCGTGGTGGACTCCTCCACCACTTCTGCTATAAACGTGGGATCTCGTGCCTCCTCCTCAGCTTCTGTGTTTGCAACCCTTCGAGTCAAGGCCCGGCGTGATTCCCTCTGGAGGCCATTCTCTGGCCCGCCTCCCCTTCCAGCCGCTCCTCCTCTTCCGCTGCCTCGTCCGTCCAGCGATGCCTGTGTCGATCGGCGACGAGTATTACTCGTACTCGCCGCAGCCATTTGTCGTGGCGTCAGCTGCATTTGCCCCCCCTGCCGTGTCGTCTCCAGCGCTTGTTGCTGCGGGGATGTCGCCACTTCCTGCACCTCGGTCTGCGCCATCGTCTGTGACTCAGGCTGGCCTTATCTCCGCGCCTGCTGCGCCGCCCGTTCCCGCCGCGGCGTCAGTGTCTGCGCCTTGCAAGGCGCCTGGTCATGTGCCCGCGCTGTCATCTGCTCCCGCGTCCGCCCCGGCGTCTGATCCCGCCCCTGCCCCTGGGCCTGCAGTGACGTCTGATCCTGCGCACTCTCCTGCGCCTGTGCCGGTGGTTCCGCCTGTCCCCGTGGCGGAGTCAGTGCCTGCGCCTGTGCTTGCGGCGGCGTCTGCTGCTGCTGGGGGCACCTCCTTGCCGCCACTGGACGCGCCTGCCGTGGCGCCTTCCGCTGCTGCTGGTGTGGACCCGGCGTGCCAGCCACCTCCAGCCACCAGCGCCGGCCTGAGCTCGGCCGAGGTTCAGTCGGCCCACGCGTCGCCTCCGGATGCTCCTGCCCCTCCGACAGCGGCAGCAATTGTGCCGCCTCCAGCCGTCCTGGCGGGTCCTACTCCTGGTCCACCCGCCCAGCGTCCTGCGTCCCCGGGCCGTCAACAGCAGCGGCCTCACCCCCCTGCTCCGCGTGATGAGCGGGAGACGTCGCGGCGGCGTCGCAATTCGCCTCGCCGCCGCAGTTCGCAGGCGAACTGGGCTGCACCGCGCGGCGGGGGAGGGGGCTGGTGGGGAGGGCGTGGTCAGGGTGGCGGCTGGGTGTATGATCAGCCGGTAACAATGGCTGACTTGCAGCGGGTTGTATCTGACGCGATGCGCGAGGAGCGGAGCGGACGGGCGAGCCTGGGCCATTCGCCGCGCCACACTCCTGCGCCGGTGTCTCATCCTCAGCCTGCTCCCTGTGCGCCTGATCCACCTCTTCCCTCGACTGTCGCTCCTCCTCCTCGTGCTCCCGCCGCGTCTGCTGCCGCTCATGGGAACCACCTCCGGCTGCCGTGAGTTCCTCCTGTGGTGGGCGTGGAGTTCGTGATTGCGGGCGGGGGACCAATGACGCCGCAGTATCCGTCCCTGCTCCCTGTTGTTCTTGATTCTCCGGCAGCTGCTCTACCAGTACAGTCGCTGGTTGGCCCTTCTCCCTCGGCGGATGTGCCTGAGGCGTCACTCGGGCAGCTGTGGCGCCTCGCTGAGGGTCTGCGGGCTGTTCACCTGATTCAGGTGTATTGCCACACGGCTCTTTCTCAGGGCGTGCCTCTGGTAGGCGGCCCTCTGGACGAGTGCTCGGATGCCGCTGACCGGCTTGCCGAGCTCCTTGCGCCCGTGTTGGCTGCGCCCGCGCGGGGTGGAGTTGCGGGCGTTGGACAGCTTGGGACTGCGCTCCGTAGGCTGCGCCGGGCGATGCGCGCAGCGACTGCAGTCAACTTGATCGGCACAACCATTGTGGTGGTGCGCGAGCTTCATCGCTCGCTGACGGGTCTTCTCGCCGTCCTTGACGCGGATCAGATGTAGTGTCTGCCATTTCTTGTGTTGTGTTGATCCCGTGCATTGTACTAGGCGAGTGTATGTGTTGCCATTGCGTGTATGTCTTGAGTCATAGTTGCTTGTCCCTTCCTCCCTTGCCGTCACCTCGCGCGCGGCCGAAGGCCGCGCTGTCGAGCGTCGGCCGCCTTCGGCGGCCGACGCGAGCGAAAAAATCTGAACCCACCGAACAATGAGGAGAAGGGGGCCAAGGAGGCCTCTTAAGTAGCTCACAGAGGGGAGGGCAGAGGGCTAAGGGTGAGGGCAGAGGCTAGGTGTCTCTCTCTCTCTCTCTCTCTCTCTCTCTCTCTCTCTCTCTCTCTCTCTCTCTCTCTCTCTCTCTCTCTCTCTCTCTCTCTCTCGCTCTCTCGAACGAACGAGCGAAAAAATCTGAACCCACTGAACAATGAGAGGCTAAGGGAAGAGGCCTTTCTCTCTCTCTCTCTCTCTCTCTCTCTCTCTCTCTCTCTCTCTCTCTCTCTCTCTCTCTCTCTCTCTCTCTCCCCCAAATGGTCCGTTGTATAAATATCACCAATGTACATACAAGGTAAGGCAACACCAATATACCGTAGAGCTACGGGAGGGTGAATCTTTGGGCAGCGCACTTCGCCGGGTTGTGCTTGAGGCCACGCTGCAGCGCATGCCCCTGCCTCCCCAAGGAAGTTAATGTCATTGGCATAAGGTAAGCGGTGCGTACCACTGATGGGAGGGATGTCTCTGTTTCTCGTAGAGCTGGCATAACAGCGGGCGGCGAACAGGAGTGGCCCTAAGGGGTCCCCTTGGCGCACCCCTGTTTCGCTCCACATAGGATGGTGGTTGAAGCCAACATCAAGGGATAGCTCGGACGGCTGTCCGTACGCGAGGTAGCGGGAGGAGTGAGGCAAGCTGTGAGGTGCCTAGTGTGGTGGTTGCAATCACCGCTCTGTCAACGCTGTTGAAAGTGTCGGCGATGTCGGCCTGAAGGACCAGAGCCGTGGGGTTCGCAGCTACGTATGCCCGAACTGTGTGGATGATTGCCTCTGCTCCCCGCGTGACAGTTACCCAAAATTGCTATGGCAGAAAGAAGCCACCACGCGCTGCCCCCGATGTCAGTGTAAGTGCTGCTTTCGCTGCGATGCGCATTATGCATTCGCCGATGGCAATGGGCCTTGTCCCCCCATCTGGTTTGCGAAGGGCGATGAGGCGTGAAGCTATTAGGAGTTCCGCCACTTCACTAGGCAGCTTTCCAGCCAAGAGGCGTTGACCAGCGCTGCGTCGCGCAAATGCTCAAATGTCGTGTCTGGTGGGCCTGCTCCCACCCCGTTTTCACAGTGCGACAGAACCCTCCCTTCTCTCTCTCCCCGCACTCCCTCTCTCTCTCTTCTCCCCCCCCCCCCCCCCCCCCCCGACACTTCTCATCGCGTCCAGTTCCATTGTGAACTCAACTCCTTAGCAGTGTTCAACAACTAGGGATTTGTTCCTAACAAGACGTTGTGAGATTCATCACAAGGGCAGGCTCTCTCCTTCCCTCCCTCTCGTTCCTTTTCCCTCTCTCCTCCCTTTGTCTCCCTCTCACTTCCAATCTCCCTCTAATTGTGTCCGATTCCCAATGTGTACTCCAAATCCCTTAAAGCAACAGTATACTTTTGCAAGCAGGGGTTTCAAAAACCTTAGGAACTTGAAAAACTGGTTACGCGATTACAACCCCAACCCCCTGCTTCACAACCGAATCTAGTCCCCAAACGCCCCACGTCTGGCTCCCTGCTCACAGCTCAAAACCTAAGGGATTGCATAAGGAAACTGAAACTGTAACGCATACCCTATCTACCTTAGCGACTATCTTAGCGACGACTCTTTAAGACGCTACCCACGTAAGGTAGCGACTTACGGGAAGGATAGGTTGGAAGGGATGAATGCTAGCTGGTCCACAATTGTGGACCACCACCACTAAAAGACAAGCATGGTTGGGAATCAACCCAACCTCCACATTGGATGTAATTCCAACCAATAACATTTGAGCGTTGATGTTACAAATTTCAACATGTAACAAAACCAACCCTATCACAAAACTATCTCTCTCATTGGTTGCTAGTCCAACCATTGTGCCACCTAAGCAAGCTTACCCCAAGGAGCTCCTTGCCCTTGTTGCCATGGAGGAAGTGGAGCTCCCCAAGGAGGTCAAGGAGGGGTTTGAGCAAGGAAGCTCATTCTCAACTCCCAACTTCCAATTAACCAAAATGGAAATGGGATCTTCTCTCTAAGTCCAAGTCATTTCCCTCACAAGTGCTCCAGGCATCTACTACCTTCTTGGTGAAGTTACCTTTTCTCTCCCAAGGCTTCACCTATCAAGCTTCCAAGACTTGAGGCTATTAATAGGACTAGTCTTTCACTGTGTGTGTGTATTCTTGGCGTTTTTATAAGCCTACTATTGACCCTTTTGTGGGCATTCATTTATAAGCCCGGGTCTTTGTTGTGAGTTTAAGGGCGTTTTTCATATAAGCCCGTGTTACAGAAACTGCACTAGTGAGAGGATAGCTCACAAGCTCCTACTTTGGCAGCTGATTCTCCATAGACTAGGCAACGTTCTAACCTAACCGCTGGATTTAGGGACAGAATTATTTAATTGAACCACAAAACGCTGTTCAAGCGCATGCGCAAACAAATTGCCCATTCGTACGCATTCGCTTTGACCACGCCACCTTAGACAAGGCCGCCTCACGCCTCCTCTCGCTGCCTCACCGCGAGGCCATTAGCGCCGCAATCTCTCCTCCCCCTTCCCTCCCTTCTCTCCCTTCCCTCCCTTCTCTCCCTTATCTACCTTCCCTCCCTTCCCTCCCTTCTCTCCCTTCCCTCCCTTCCCTCCCTTCCCTCCCTTCCCTCCCTTCCCTCCCTTCCCTCCATTCCCTCCCTTCTCTCCCTTCCCTCCCTTCCCTCCCTTCCCTCTCTTCTTTCCCTTCCCTCCCTTCCCTCCCTTCCCTCCCTTCCCTCCCTTCTCTCCCTTCCCTCCCTTCCCTCCCCTCCCTCCCTTCCCTCCCTTACCTCCCTTCCCTCCCTTCCCTCCCTTCCCTCCCTTCTCTCCCTTCCCTCCCTTCCCTCCCTTCCCTCCCTTCCCCCCCTTTCCTCACTTTCCTCCCTTTCCGTCCCTTCCCTCCTTTCTCTCCCTTCCCTCCCTTCTCTCTCCCCCTTACCTTCTCCTCCATCCCTCCGGACTGCCCCCATCAGTGCCAACCCTCTCTGCGCATCTTTTGTTTCTCCCCCTTTTGTTCTTCACATCCCGCCTCATCATCTCGCTACCCCGCCTCCCCATCTCCCCTTCCTCTCAGTTCCTCTGTTTCTGCCCTTTCGTCCGACCTCTTCATCCTCACCCCTCCACCCCGCATCCCCATCTCTTCCCCCCCTCTTCCCTTTCCCTCCCTGCATCCCCATCTCCCTGCATACCTCTCTCCCCTTCCTGCTTCCCCATATCCACTGCATGTTTCCCCATCTCTCCTCCCTGCATCCCCATCTCTCCTCCCTGCATCCCCATCTCCTCACCTGCATCCCCATCTCCTCACCTGCATCCCCATCTCCTCACCTGCATCCCCATCTCCCCTCCCTGCATCCTCCCGAAACCCTTCCGAAGCCTGCTTCTCCTTACTTCTCCCCTGCTCCCTCCTGCCTCCCTTCATTTCCCCCCCTGATTCCCATCATTTCCCCCCCTGATTCCCATCATTTTCCCTCTTCACTTCTGTCATCACAGCCTATGGTTGAATCAAATACTCCCCCTCCCCGGCTACCTGTATTTCAGTGACCAACTGCTCTCAAGATCTTCATGCTTCAACTCACCTCACACCATCTCACGTCAAATAAGCTAGAGAAAGGTCAGTAGTACTGTATTCGACTTAGCGAGAACATATTTCTTTCTACCTGTATGTGATGTGACACCTTCACTGTCCATGCATCTTGGATGAATTATCTTCACTGCTGAAATCGTGGTAGCACATAGCGGGCTTTGTGACGAATATCTCTAGCAGTAACACACTACTCATACCGTACAACGCACACTAGACTACACAAAAGTTCTGAGCACCATCCACTACAAGCTGTGCCTTTGTTTGCATCTGATGCCCTGTTTCAGCACTACTAATTAGCAGAGTAGGCATAAACGATTGTGTGAAGACCCAGTGGGGACGTGCTATGAGGCGGAAGAGGAAAAACAGACCCTGAATACAAGCAAGCGTACAAGGGAACCATGTGCGCAAGCACCGGGGGGCAGAAGGGAAAAGTGGGTGAGGGTGAAGGGGAGCGCATGCACGGGAAGGGAAGGGAGAAGGGATCGGGAAGAGAAGGGTGGGGCAGGAGAAGGGAAGGGCAGGGAGTGGAGATGTGAAGGCAGGGAGTGGAGATGTGAAGGCAGGGAGTGGAAATGTGAAGGCAGGGAGTGGAAATGTGAAGGCAGGGAGTGGAGATGTGAAGGCAGGGAGTGGAAATGTGAAGGCAGGGAGTGGAAATGTGAAGGCAGGGAGTGGAGATGTGAAGGCAGGGAGTGCAGATGTGAAGGCAGGGAGTGCAGATGTGAAGGCAGGGAGTGGAGATGTGAAGGCAGGGAGTGGAAATGTGAAGGCAGGGAGTGGAAATGTGAAGGCAGGGAGTGGAGATGTGAAGGCAGGGAGTGGAAATGTGAAGGCAGGGAGTGGAAATGTGAAGGAAGGGAGTGGAGATGTGAAGGCAGGGAGTGCAGATGTGAAGGCAGGGAGTGCAGATGTGAAGGCAGGGAGTGGAGATGTGAAGGCAGGGAGTGGAAATGTGAAGGCAGGGAGTGGAGATGTGAAGGCAGGGAGTGGAAATGTGAAGGCATGGAGTGGAAATGTGAAGGCAGGGAGTGGAGATGTGAAGGCAGGGAGTGCAGATGTGAAGGCAGGCAGTGCAGATGTGAAGGCAGGGAGTGGAAATGTGAAGGCAGGGAGTGGAAATGTGAAGGCAGGGAGTGGAGATGTGAAGGCAGGGAGTGGAAATGTGAAGGCAGGGAGTGGAAATGTGAAGGCAGGGAGTGGAGATGTGACGGCAGGGAGTGGAGATGTGAAGAGCCCCTCAGGTGGATTGCCTCGTCAGCGAGTGATGATTGGCCATTGATGGAATCCACTGAGAGGCCGACAGCTGGCGCCATGGTGTCAAACACGTGCTTCAACTGCTGGAGTAGGCAGAATGGCACGGTCGTGGGCGAGGAGGGCGAGAGAGGGAGAGGGGGAGAGCGGGATTGTCTGTTGGGCAAAAAGACAAGTTAGTCTGTGGGGCAATGGTGGGAGAGGAAGGTTGATGGTTAAACATCGGCTGGGAAAGTGAGCTGAGGTAAGTGTGAGTTGGTCTCGAGTGGGCAACACCACCACCGCTCTGACTCACCGCGCCTCACACCCTGCCAGTGCCTGCACCACTTGCAGCGCAAACGCCAGTGTCTTGACAGGTGTGTTGGCAGGGAGATGAAAGGGACAAGAGGGGGGATGGGATGGAAGGGCCTGGAAAAGCGAAGGCGAAGAGGGTAAATGGTGAGGGAGATGAGGGTGTTGGGAAGGAAGAGACATGCGATGGCGTGTAAGGCAGGAGAGATCGGAAGGAAGGGTGGGGAGGAGTGACCTCAAGTCAGGTGGGAACGATGTGCTAGCAGGGGGGAAAGGAGGGATGCAGTAGGGTAAAGGAGGGATGCAGTAGGGTAAAGGAGGGATGCAGTGGGGGAAAGGAGGGATGCAGTGGGGGAAAGGAGGCGAAGCAGCGGCGGAAAGCAGGGGAAGCATGGGGGGGAGAGGAGGGGATACAAGGGGGGGGGGGGGGTCGGAGGGAAAGGAGGGGAAACAAGGGGGGAAAAGGAGGAAAGTAGGGGCGGAAAGGGGGAAAAACAGGGGGGGAAAGGAGGGGATACAGGGGGGGAAAGGAGGGGATACAGGGGGGGGGGGGAAGGAGGGGACGCAAGGGGGAGAAAGGAAGGGATTGGGTGGGGGAAAGGAGGGGAAGCAAAGGGGGGAAAGGAGGGAATGCAAGGGGGGAAAGGAGGGGAAGCAAGGGGGGGAAAGGAGGGGAATCAGGGGCGGAAAGGAGGGGAATCAGGGGCGGAAAGGAGGGGAATCAGGGGGGGGGAGGAGGGGAAGCAAAGGGGGAAAGGAGGAGAAGCAATGGGGTGAAAGGAGGGGAAGCAAGGGGGGGAAAAGGAGGGAATGCAGGGGGGGAACGGAGGGGAAGCAAAGGGGGAAAGGAGGAGAATCAAGGGGGGGAAAGGAGGGGAAGCAAGGGGGGGAAAGGAGGGGAATCAGGGGGGGTGGAGGAGGGGAAGCAAAGGGGGAAAGGAGGAGAAGCAAGGGGGGGAAAGGAGGGGAAGCAAGGGGGGGAAAAGGAGGGAATGCAAGGGGGGAACGGAGGGGAAGCAAAGGGGGAAAGGAGGAGAAGCAAGGGGGGGAAAGGAGGGGAAGCAAGGGGGGGAAAGGAGGGAATGCAGGGGCGGAAAGGAGGGGAATCAGGGGGGGGGGGGAGAAGGAGGGGAAGCAAGGGGGGGAAAAGGAGGGGAAGCAAGGGGGGGAAAAGGAGTGAATGCAGGGGCAGAAAGGAGGGGAAGCAAAAGGGGGAAAGGAGGGGAAGCAGGGGCGGAAAGGAGGGGAATCAGGGGGGGGGGGAAAGGAGGGAAAGTAAGAGGGGAAAGGAGGAGAAGCAAGGGGGGGAAAGGAGGGAATGCAGGGGCGGAAAGGAGGGGACAGAGGGGCGCTAAGCGAGTGACGCGCTAAGCGGGTGACGCGCTAAGCGGGTGACGCGCTAAGCAGATGAGGCGAGCAGCGGGTGACGCGGTAAGCGGGTGAGCCGCTAAGCGGGTGAGGCGCTAAGCGGGTGAGGCGCTAAGCGGGTGAGGCGCTAAGCTCGTCGGCCTGAACGCGTTGAGCCCGCCGAGGGCAACGCGGCGGGGCAGGAAGGTGGGCAGACAGTTGCCTTACCAAATTTAGCGATTTTGAATGCAACGATTGCATTGCAGCGATCCCGCCGAATGCGACTAGCCGTGGCGCCTAAGAAATAGGTTATGACGGGCGCGCCGCATACATTGCGGGCTCGGCGAATGCTACGCGGCGGCAGTCCGCAAAGCGGCGGGGCAAACCGAAAGGGAGATGCGGGGCTCGATTGATGGTCGTTTTCGAGGCGTAGCCTAATCTGTACATGTGTAGATACTCCCAGCCGACCATGTGAGATGTCGCGCTATTGGTATAGCACCCTAAAGCCCAGCATGGTTAGTTATATCGCGGAAATTACTAGTAGTCGCTGATTCAATCGCCAAGTGTGTGAGAGTAGTAACGTAGCTTGACCCCCCAACCCAACCCTGGTTCCCCGCTTCGGATTTTCGCCAACCCTCTCGCCAATATTTTGTTTTCGTTTTTGCGAAAACGCCTTGCGCACTGTAGATCCTCAAACAGTACTGTCAAATGTATACTGCTGCTTTAACAACTAACGACCCCCTCCTTCCGATATCGGGAGGCGCAGCTTCCCTTTTGGTCGGGGGGGGGGGGGGGGTTTATCCTAGGAGAAGGTGCTCCGAATACTCCCCCAAGCACTAGCCTAACCCTAGCCCAGCAATAATTAGGCTGCCTATCGAGCAGGGCCTTTGGCCGTACATGAGCCACAATCTTTGGGGTAGGTTTTGGGGTAGGTCTTCGAAATCTTGTGGGAAAGTTACCGCAATGTAGCAATCCCGTAACTTAGGAAACTCGAACATTTTGGGATGAACCACTGTAGGCAATACTTAGGCGAAACGACCATGGGGCATCTTATAAATTAGGTCATACGCCAACCGTGCCATTTGTTTAATTTGCGTTCCTAATTTGCACTCATTCTCCACGTGTGAGATCATTGAAGCCGTTCACACCTACCCTCGCGGCTTCGCGGATCCCCGAATCGCCTTCGCACACTCCTGATTCGCCCTTCCCGCGGCTCGATTCGCCTTTCCCGCCGCCGAATTTGCGGTTCTCGCCGCCCGACTCTCCTTTCCTGCCGCGCGGTTATGAGTTTCCCGCCGGCCGATTCCCTATTCCCGCAGCCCGATTTCCCGTCCCGCCGCCCGATTCCCCTTCCCGCCCCCCGATTCCCCTTTCCGCACCCGATTCCCCTTTTCCACCGCCCGATTTCTCTTTCCCGCAGCCCGTTTCCCCTTCCCGCCGCCCAATCCCCCTTTCCCGCCGCCCGTTTCCCCTTCCCCGCCGCCCAATCTTCCCTTCCCGCTTCCCGTTCTCCCCTTCCCGCCTCCCGTTCTCCCCTTCCCGCCTCCCATTTTCCGGTTTCCGCCCCCCATTCTCCCCTTTCCGCCTCCCTTCTCCTCCCCCCCTACCTTCTCTCTGTTACCTCCCTTTCATCCCTTATTCTCCCTCGTCTCTCCCTCCCGACATCCCTCCCGTCTCTCCTTTCACTCCCTTTCATCCCTTCCCTCCCTTCCCTCACTTCCCTCCCTTCTCTACCTTCCCTCCCTTCTCTCCCTTCGATAAAAGTCTCTCCGTTCCCTCCTTTTCTTACCCTTCCCTCCCTTCCTTCCCTTCTCTCCCGTACCCCCTTTCCCTCACTTCTCTCCCTTCCCTCCCTTTTCTCTCCCTGTCCTCCCTTACCTCCCTCCCCTCCTTTCTCTCCCTTCTCTCGTATCCCTCCCTTCTCTCCCTGTCCTCCCTTCTCTCCTTTCCCGTCCTTCTCTCCCTACCCTCCCTTCTCTCCCTTCCCCCCCCTACTCTCCCTGAGCCCCCTTCTCTCCCTTTCCACCCTTCTCTACCTTCCTCTTCATGCTTCCCACCACCTCTTTCTCCTGCCTTCCCATCCCCCCTTCATGCTTCCCACCACCTCTTTCTCCTGCCAGTACCATTTTTTCCATGCACGTAATTCCACTGATGTTTTCTATTCCTTTGGAATGTGCCTTGCACCCTCCTCCCCTCCTCTGACCTTCCTTGCAACTCATCTACCTTGTCCTTCCCTGTGCGTGCAGTTACAATACTTTGAAGTTATCGCGATTTCATCGCTGTATCTGCGGCAGAGGGAGTGTATGGGAATACCTACCAGCACCAAGGAATTTGTCACCCTAAACGGCGTAGCTAGCCTAGCCACCGCAGTGCGAGTTAGTCTGCTATCTGCACCTACCGCTTTCCAAGCCCTTTTCGCTCTGCGCCTCTTTACCTGCCCCTCCCTCTCTATGCCTCTCTCACTTCCATCCACTCCCTGTGTCGCTAATCCTGGCCTTTTCTCCCTGTGTCGCTAATCCTGGCCTTTTCTCCCTGTGTCGCTAATCCTGGCCTTTTCTCCCTGTGTCGCTAATCCTGGCCTTTTCTCCCTGTGTCGCTAATCCTGGCCTTTTCTCTCTGCGCCGCTATTCCTGCCCTTCCCTCTATGCGCCTGTCTTCTTGCCCTTCCCTCTCTGTGTCTAAGAAAAGCCCTATCTAGGACAATCTCCCTGCACCTCTCTGTCCTGCCACCCTATCTCATTGTCGCCCCTCTCCATCTCCCCTTCATGCATCCCCACGGGAGCTTCCCACCGCCACAGCCTCTTCCCCATCTTCCCATCTTCCCTATATCCCTACCATACAGTTCCATGATATTCCATACCCTTTCATACCACAGCCATACCCTCCCATCCCCTTCCATACCCTCCCATCCCCTTCCAGCCCCTCATCCCCTTCCAACCCCTCTCATCCCCTTCCAGCCCCTCTCATCCCCTTCCAGCCCCTCTCATCCCCTTCCAGCCCCTCTCATCCCCTTCCAGCCCCTCTCATCCGTGCTTTTCTTGCAGGCGGGGTGCCTCCCCCTCCAGACATCCTACCACCTGTGCCAGTCCCCACACATCAAAGCCACCTCTCCACTACATCCCACACTAGTTTCATTCTCGTCTCCAACAACCCTCACATTACATTCCCTTGATCGGTTTCTGTGCTTGTGTTGCAGGTGGGTGCCTTCCCGACCGGACATCTTACTATCTGCGCCTCACAAGCAACCTAAGTGCCAGCAACCTGGGCATGGATAGGCAGCGATGGCAATGTGAATGGCAGGGGAGCATGGCAACGGCCACAAGCGAAGCAGCTAGCCTTGAACATTAGCACATACCGTGAACACACCCTCTCTCTGCCCCTTTTAGGTACTTGACCTAACAAATCGTGCCATCAAACATATGTTTCAGTGTTTTTAACCAACTGGTAGTAATTGACTGCAGTGTTCTTTGACATCATTACAAGTTGCAAACATCACCATTTTTATAGCATGTACTGTACCATAATACAATATGTAATCAAAGCAGTTTGGTTACAAGTAAAGGCAGGCACAGAGCAATCCATGCATACGGTACTACCGTATTCTCTCGGATAAAACACCCTAGGGTATTATGAAAACCATTGGAAAAAAATGGGGGGGGTCTCCGCAAAGGAAAATCCTACATAATACCCGGTCTTATTACCGTCATACCCCGGATAAGCCCCCATGGGGGGCAATAATAAAACATGTTTTTTTTTATGGGGTGGGCTTATAATCGAGTAAATTTATAAGCGCCGGGGCTTATACAATGACATATATGAAATCTAGTTGTTTTCACTTCAAAATGTTCATCTTGTCATTGCGATTTCAAACGAGTCAAGATCATAGTGGGTGTGAAGAAGAATCTCGCGTAAGTTTGCAAACTGCCAACACACACAGTCAGAATGAGTCATTTCGCCCCATGACAGCTCATTCTGACTGGACGCGCAGTCAGTTGAGTCGCGCGAGGGTGGGGCAGTGAGTCGCGCGAGGGTGAAGGGTCGAAATTTCACCAAGTGAGGATGAAAATAGTGTGTTTCACTACGGAGATTCCAGTAACTTTATAAAAACTAATACAAATGGTGGCTCTTATAATACGTAAGCCTTCAAGGGGTGCGCTTATAATCAAGCACCGGATATAAGCGCCACACGCCAATTAAAAGCGCCAGGCGCTTATCCGCGGGTGGCGCTTATATCCGGGGTATGACGGTATATGGTATATTTTTTATAAAGCAGAAAAGATGTGAAACAAAAACAGGGGTCTGACTTCACTTCAAGATTGTTGATCAATGTCACAAACCCGAGTACGAGGATATTGTGGGCCACTTGGGCCACTTCACCTCTTGGACCACTTGCACTGGAAGATTCGCCAATGTGGCGACAGCGAGATTGTGGGAGGGGGGGTATCTCGGCTGGTTCTAAGTGAAAGTACATGCGAAATTTCTTCTAGGGAGTGATTCTCGCGATATCCTCCCGTAAGGAATCGGTCTCGATAACAGCTATAATAGGAATCTATAAGAAAAGGGGGGTGTTCTAGAGAATCACCCCAAAAGGGGGGGTATAGTACTAACGGGGTCGGATATAACACCCACCCCGTATAAGCTACCCGAGGGTGTACAATTACGGGGGGGTGTTTTATCCGGGAGAATACGGTAACTTCGTGACTCCCGATCGATCAAGTGTGCAGCCAACTTCTAATTGTAGGCAACGCGGGAAATGTGACGGTGCTGGCAGGCGATGGGGAGGATAGGCGAGCGAGGAAAGGGTACACGCAGCAGGTTGCCTTTCCTGGATGCTGCAGTACTACCACGTTCGTTCCTGCAGGGCAAATCTGCCCGTTGCCGTCCGTCCACAGCGCCCCAAACCTGAGGGGATGGTGGTAAGGAGGGTGGGGTGAGAAGGGATGTGTAGAGGATGGATGGGGAGAGAATGGATGCATAGAGGGTCGGTGGGGAGAGAAGGGATGGGGCAGAGATGGGATGAGGCAGAGAGAGAGGGTAACACTGGATAACGCTGGTGTTACTACGGTACTGGAGGTGAAAAGTGGAAACATTGGGGGAAAGCAGGGCAAGCACGGGGGGAAAAGGAGGGATGCTGTGGGGGAAAGGAGGACAAGCAGTGGGGAAAATAAGTTGAAGCAGTGGAAGAAAGGTGTGGAAGTAGTGGGGGGGACAGGGGGAAGGACTGGAGGGGGAAGCAACAAGGGAAAGCAGGGGAAGGAGTGGGGGAAAAGAAGGGAAGCAGTGGGGGAAAGGAGGGGAAGCAAGGGGGGAAAGGAGGGGAAGCAAGGGGTGAAATGAGGGGAATCAAGGGGGGAAAAGCAGGGGCTGCAAGGGGGGGGAAAGGAGGGGAAGCAAGGGGGGGAAAGGAGGGGAAGCAAGGGGGGGAAAGGAGGGGAAGCAAGGGGGGGAAAGGAGGGGAAGCAAGGGGGGGAAAGGAGGGGAAGCAAGGAGGGGAAGCAAAGAGGGGAAACGAGGGGAAGCAAAAGGGGGAAAAGGAGGGGAAGCAAGGAGGGGGAAAGGAGGGGAAGCAAGGGGGGGAAATGAGGGGAATAAACGGGTGGAAAGGAGGAAAATCAAGGGAGGGAAAGGAGGGGAAGCAAGGGGGGAAAGGAGGGGAAGCAAGGGGGGAAAAGGAGGGGAAGCAAGGGAGGGAAAGGATGGGAAGCAAGGGGGGGGAAATGAGGGGAAGCAAGGGGGGGAAAGGAGGGGAAGCAAGGGGGGGAAATGAGGGGAAGCAAGGGGGTGAAATGAGGGGAATAAAAGGGGGGAAAGGAGGGGAAGCAAGGAGGGGAAAGGAGGGGAATCAAGGGGGGGAAAGGAGGGGAAGCAAGGGGGGGAAAGGAGGGGAAGCAAGGGGGGGAAAGGAGGGGAAGCAAGGGAGGTTGGAGGGGAAGCAAGGGGGGGAAAGGAGGGGAAGCAAGGGGGGGGGGAATGAGGGGAAGCAAGGGAGGGAAAGGAGGGGAAGTAAGGGAAGGAAAGGAGGGGAAGCAGGGGCAGCAAGGAGGAATCCGTGGCCAAGGAGGGGGCGGAGGAATAGACAAGTCCATTGGAGAGTTGGCCTTTCCTCTATTTTTCTGGGCCTGAAAGAGGAAGAGATCCGTGATCAAGCGAGGGATGAGAGGGCGAGCAGGGGGCACACAAGCGCCCGGCATGGGGTGAGGCGCGCACGGGGTGACGCGCTAAGCGGGTGAGGCGAGCAGCGGGTGGCACGCTAAGCGGGTGAGGAGCGCAGCGAGTGACACGCTAAGCTGGGTGAGGCGCTAAGCCCGCCGGCCTGGCCGACGCATGGAACGCGTTAAACCCGCCGAGGGCAACGCTGGTGGGGCTGGAAGGTGGGCAAACGGCTGCCTTATCAGATGTGTCGATTTTGAAAGCAACGATTGCATTGCGGCAATCCCGCCGAATGCAACTCGCCGTGGCGCAGTGTAATCTAGGTTATGACTGTCAGAGGTCCACTGGTGATCCCCGATTGATCCTAGGGAAGGGTTACAGGCATGTTGGCCTGGGGGGTTATGGGCGCACTGACCCGCTACTAAATAAGCCCTTTTATCCCAGTGGTCTAGTGGCCGGGATTCTGACATGGTTTCAGAGCACTAGGTCCGTAGGATCGTCCTTTTTTTCCGGGCCCACCTACCGTTACGGTTACCACGCTACCCCACGTGTTCTCCTACGCACACCTTCCCCTGCCTTGCCTTATGACATGCTGCGCTGTGCGCGCCGTCCTACAGCCCTCAAGCTGCCTACTATTGCCCTAGCTACGCACGCACCGCCCTGCAGACCCGTAAGGCCAGCGTGCCGCCCCTACAGGCCCGTAAGGCCAGCGCGCCGCCCCTACAGGCCCATAAGGCCCACGCGCCGCCCGTGCAGGCCCGTCAGGCCGGCGAGCCGCCCCTGCAGGCCCGTCGGGCCAGAGCACCGCCCCACCCTGCAGCCGATGCGGCCCCACCAGGCCACTGTCGCGGCCCCGCCCTGCTGCTAACGCGGCCCGCCCTGCAGCCGACGCGGCCCCGCCAGGTCGCGGTCGCGGCCCCGCCCTGCCGCTGACACGGCCCCGCCAGGCCGCTGTCGCGGCCCCGCCCTGCTGCTGACGCGGCCCGCCCTGCAGCCGACGCGGCCCGCCCTACAGCCGACGCGGTCGACTTCTTCTTGTCGACCTCCTTGGTCGACTTCCAGCCACTGCTACCGCCACCGCCAGACTGTCCGCTCTTCCCCGGTCGGCCTCCTTGCTTCGCTGGGGCGACGAATTTTGCCTGCGCCAAGAGCTCCTGAGACCGCTCAGCCTCCTGCATCGCCTCGTCCTGCAGGATGTACGAGGTCAGGTTGTCCTCGTTGAGCGTCGCCCTCGTGCTCGGCGCCATAGACAGCCGCTTCAGGAGGTTATAGCTGCTAGAGAATCCCTGCATGACATGGGTGATGTACGACACCGTCGAGTACTGCACACCAGCCATGCTTATGGCGGCGAGAATTCGCCGGGCTCGGTTGCAGTAGTCAGTCGCCGTCTCCTCGTCACCCATACGCAGGTGCGTCAGCTGTCCCTCCAGCTGGGCGATGAACAGGTCGTCGGTGACCTGGTACGTCGACTCAATGAAGTGCCACGCCCGGTGGCCGATGTCAAGGTACTCCCGGCACCACTTCAAGGCGATCTGTACGCCCGGCGAGCAGCACCGCGAGATGACTATGGAGGTCAACAGCTGCACGGCGCGGAACTCCGCGCGCAGGTCGGGGTGTTGCTCCCCCGGCGTCGCCACAGTCCCTCGGGCGAAGCCGATCAGCCCGGCCATCTCCAGCTGGGGCTCGATAGCTTCCTTCCAGGTGAGAATGTCGGGTCGACCAATCAGCGGAGGGGTGACCAAGATCCTGTCCGGCGTAAACTTGAAGTAGCCGTAGCTCGGCGCAATTCCGCCTGCAGTCACCTGGGACGCCGACATCGGCGACAGCCCGCTCCGTCGACCTCCAACGTCACCCTGCGAAGGGCCTACAGTCGCCGACGACCGCATCCCTCACCCCTGAACGCCGCCGGCTTCACTGGCGTGTATCACACCTCGCTGCCTCGAAGTGACCTCCACCGGCGTGTATCACACCTCGCTGCCTCGACGTGCCTCCCGCACTGCTGCCGACCTGACCTCCACCGGCGTGGACGCCCACGTCGACGCCGCCGTCGTTGTTCACCGGTCGAGGACAGGCAGGTCGAGAAGGGGGGTGCTCCGCCGCCCACACGGAGCGGAGTCCGGCCTCAACGACTGCCCAAGGTATCGCCCCATACTCATGGGCCTCATGGCGTCTCCTCGCATCCTCCAGCCGTCCCTCCAGGGTGTCCATCACCTCGGCGCCGCTTACGCGCACGATAGTGACTGCCCGGCTGCCGGTCTACGAACATGATCGGTTTGTGCAAAGTCGACTAGACTGAACTACGTCGCGGTGTCTTCCACGCTCACCGCACCATGCGGAGATAACTGCTGCAATGGGAGCTAGGCTACGGGCTGGGCATGTGGGCTTGTGTGATCTCTGAGTTTGTTCACTTAGTCGTTTCCTTCTGTGTCCTCTGCTTGCACATTCACGGGGAGATTTTGCAAGAGTTTCACTAGGAAAACATGACAATAATGGTACAATGAAGTTGGCAAGGCAAGACTACATCAGAGCTAGCATTCAGGTCGGCCAACTGCCAGCGCAGCTTGGTCGACCGCGTTCCAGCACGACTTGGTCGACCGCGCTCCAGCAAGGCAAGGTCGACGGCGTGCCAACGTCGCTGGTTGACGGCGTGCCAGCGTTGCTCACGCAGAATATTAGCGCACCCGCTTCGCAGATGCGCGCAGATGATTGGCGCGCAGAGCCTCGTCACCTGCACAGCGCACACACCACGTCAACCTCGAGCTGACGGCTACTTCTGATCTGCCATGTTGACCTCGGGATACCACCACCGAGGTCGGACTCGCCAACTTCGCCTGGGCGACTATCGCACTCCTCCACAGAAGTTCGTCACCCAGGTAACCTGGTCGATCGGGCAACCACGTCGACCAGCTGCTCCCGCACGTGCCCGTCGACCTCCCAAGTCAACGGTCACCTCCAGTCAACCTCACCAGGTTGACCACACCCTCGGTCGACCCCCTCCAGGGTCGACGTTACTCCTAGTCGACCAGCTCCTCGTCGACCAGTGTAGTTGTCGGCCGACCACCCACGTCGGCCACCCGAAGTTGGCGTCACGAAGTTGACGCCCCGCTACTCGACGCCCAACTGTTCAGCGTCCTGAGTCGAGGTCGACGTCGGCCCCTTCTTCGTCGACCACCAGGCCAGTCGACCACCAGCAGGTCGACCAGCAGGCCTGTCAGCCGACCACCGAAGTCGGCTTCCCCAAGTTGACGTCCTCCACAGGTCGACTCTCAAGTCGACCTCCCTGAAGTCGGCGCCCGTGCAGTGGTAACCGTGCAGGTCGACCTCCTCGTCAACCAGCTCGTCCACTGCTGCAGGTCGGCTGCTCCCCTCACATTTGACCACGAAGTCGGTTCCGCCCAAGCGAGGACGGGGCCAACATACAACCCCCGTTGACACTCCCCTGCCGCATTCACGCTTGGGCCCCCAGCCCACACGGCAGTATTCCTCGGAGACTAGCTCGTCGGCGTGCACCCAACACACAGCATGTCGTCCACCGCACCAGCCATGCAAGAGGGCATGGCACCTACTGCTGCACTTCGTCAACTTCGTCGCCCATGTCAGCCAAGCGCACCTGGCCGATGGCGACGGAGCACTGGTTGAAGGCCGGATAGTGCAGTGCCTTCGTCAGGAAGTCGGCTGGCTGCTCGGTGGTCAGGATATACCTCAGCGAGAACTTCCCGCGCTTCACCATATGCTGCAGCCAGGCCTGTCGCCGCTCCATGTGCTTGAGGTTGCCCATCAACCCCATGCCCTTGGCGACCGTGATGGCCGACTTGTTGTCCACCCGAAGGACAGTCGGCTTCCCAGCATCCAGCTGCCGGAATTCTGCAAGAAGGAAGCGAAGCCGGCGTCCCTCCTTGCTGGCTTCGGTTGCCGCCACGTACTCCGACTCATTCGACGACAACGTCGCGCACTTGATGCGCTGGCTCGACCAGGAGACTGCGGCCCCTCCATAGAAGAACACGTAGCCGCGCGTGCTCGTCCTGTTCTGCTTGTCACCTGCGTGTCGTCGGCGTCCACGTAGCCGACCAGCTCCAGCGACTCAGGTCCACCGCCGAACTCCAGGGCGGTGTCACGTGTGTTGGCGAGGTAGGCGAGGCAGCGGTCGACCTCACGCCAGTGCTGGTCGCTCCTCACCGTGGGACCACTCCCCAGCTTGCTGCAGGCAAAGGTGATGTCCGGCCTCGTCGTCGTCACCGCGAACTGCAGCGAGCCGACCTTCTGCCGGTACTCCTCCTCTTGTCGCTCCTGCGCCTCCTCGTCGTCGAAGGTGAGCTCGGCGTAGGCGTCGACCGAGACCGGCGTCTTCGGGGTGCGCCCGGTCTGCTCCTCGTCAAGGAAGCGCCTACGCAGCTTGTCGGCGTAGCCCTGCTAGTGCAGCCACAGCTTCCCCGCCGACCTGTTGCGGACGATCTCCAGCCCGAGGTACTTCTCCACCGGCGAGATCTTACGCAACTCGAAGGCGGACTCAGCAGCTCCTTCAGCTCCTTCAGCATCTTGGTGCTGCTGCTGGCGGAGAGAAGGTCGTCGACGTAGACCAGCACCCAGCAGGCCACTCTGTCGTCGCCGACCTTGAAGTATAGAGCCTCATCGACCTGGCTCTTCTTCCACCTGGCGCCAACCAGCACGTCGCTGAGCGCCAAGTACCACAGCAGCGGCGACTGCTTCAGCCCGTACAGGCTCTTCACCAGCTTGCACACCCGGCCGGATCCATCGTTGAAGTAGTCCGGCTGGTGCATGTACAGCACCCGGTCTAGCTTGCTCTGTAGAAAGGCGTTCTTCATGTCGAGCTGCATCAGGTTGAGGTTGAGGACGGCGACGATGCTAAGGAAGATCCTCAGCGTGACGTAGCTGCCCAGCGGCGCGAACGTCTCGTCGTAATCGGCGCCGTAAACCTACGTGAAGCCATTTACGACCAGCCTTGCCTTCTCTCGCTCGACGGTGTCGTCGATGTGGTACTTCGTCGTCAACACCCACCGGTTCTTCATGATGTTCACTCCCGGCGGGCGTTCGACCAGCTCCCACGTTCCCATGTTGAGGAGGCTGCGAATCTCCTCCTCCATGGCGGCCTTCACCGCCGGTCCCTTCCAGCTTGCCAACGCCTCTTTCACCGTCATCGTCGAGATGTCCCAATGGT